CCCCCAGTTTTATCTCTTTCTCAAAAAGAAAAAAAGTTACTTGAGTTCTGTGCTGAAAACAAATAAAATTAGTTGTAGCAATTACTTGAGTATTTCTCACGTGTGTCTCTTAAAGCAACTGCAGTACAAGTTTAATAAGCAATGAGCAATGAATTCAATTCCATTTTGTTCAGTATGATGATTTTTAAGCTGCAAATAATCGAAAGCAGCGTAATTTGTTTTATCGGGAATTATTGTTAGAGTCGTTATCCGTGAGCTGGAATGATGGTTGCTTGTTCTCGATCTTGATCTTCGCTCTTCTTCATCTGTAGTGATGGACTTGGAAGATCAAAATTCAGCTCTTAAATCGGCCCGACATAATGAAACAATGGCCACCCCTCAAAGCAAGGTTGGAAGTAATGGGTCTAGTACTCCTGTGGGTAATAATAGTAATAATAATAAATTGGATGATGTAAAAGGCAAAGGAATTGAAATTAACGGGCCAGTGGATAATTCAGCTCCACTGGTGAAATCCACTCCAACAAGTAAAGGATTCGGGTTGAAGAAATGGAAAAGGATTAAGCGAGGAGCGCACAAGGATCATGGGGATAGTAGTAGTATAAACAGTGATAAGTTGTTGAAACGTGGTTTGGCGAATTCGGTTGCTAATTCAGCAAAACCTGTGCATTTTTCCGCTGGAAGCATCCAAAGAAGTGATGGGTCTGTTTCATCTACAAATGCCGTATTCAAGAGTCCAGGAGTTCTGGTCGATGGATTTGGTGTAATTGGTGATTTGACCTTCAATGCCATGTCGGAATCAGAGAACAGCGAGGATCGGAGTAGTAAGTCGTCTACTGCAGCTAGTGCCCCAAAGGCGAGGTACGAAGCACCTGTTGTCCTGGGTTATTCGTCTGACGTGCATCAGTTGAGAAGCTTGAGTGGGAAGAACTTGGGCACTTCAGCTCAGCAAGCTCATCAGGGAAAGGGTCGGGCTGAAACAAGTAAAAAGCCTAGAGGACAAAGGGTTAAAATCGAGAAGGAAAACTCTCATTCCAGCATGGAATCTGACTCACAAAGTTCTAATTTTCTTTTTATGCAGGGTAGTGACTATGTTACAAGTAATGGTACAAAATGTGAAAGGTCAATGATGTATGATGGAGAATTCAGTGATGAAACTCAGGATAGAGAAAGACCAATTGGTGAGGAACTTCACGCTGGTCGCGAAAGAGGAAATGATAGGGAGTCTGAAAATGTGTCACAAGAAGATCTAGTTGCTGAATCGCCATGGGAGGTTAAGGAAGAGAAGAGTGAGAATCAAGGCTCGTTCACTGATCACGATCCTCTGATGGAGTCTATCTTCAACCTCCAGACTGCTCAGGGAGCGCTTGAAAGAGGTAGATCCGAACATTTCAAGTTTACTTCTGCTTATATGACAGATATCGATGTAGGTCATGAATTTTGTTCTGCTTGCATCTTCTGTATGTTGCATTTAGCTGTATCTTTCTGGTTGAATCAATATGCTAAGAGGAGTGGCACTTATGTTTGACATCTACCTATTTGGGCATCTCTTAAGAAATATATGCTAGCATTATGGCAGGAACAATAACATTAAGTCTGTAAGTCAGTGGAAAAAATGTCAGGAGGTAGCGTTCATAATCCTAATAATGTGCATATACCTAAAAAATGATTTGGAGACCACTTACGCTTTCTCCTCTTCAGGAGGCATTTATACGCTTTCTCCTCTTCAGGAGGCATTTAATCGTGTATATTTGATTATCATGCTGTTATGCGGGTATATTTCGGACCATGTTCTTTTCTAAAAGCAGTTTTTATGTGCCGTAGTGTCATATATTTTGCAATTTACTTATAAATAAATGTCATATTCTTTGCAATTTACTGATTCTTTATAATTATTATTGGTATAACAACTTCCGGTTCAGGATTATACTGCAAAGGGTTTGATGTTGATAAATTTCTTTTAGCAATATCAAATCTTGTTGAGAACCTATTTTCTGATACAGATGACATTTTCAACTTGAAGCATGTCCATGTCCAACGAATCAATGGGCAATGTTCAATCTCATGTTAATTTGAAACATTCTACATAGCGTCTTACCTTTCTTTGTCTGTCTGGACTTGATGCCACTCCCTTCTCTGACTCCCTCAAACAAAAGTGTAACTTAACAATAAAAAACAGTATGTTTTCACTTCTTTTATCTGCATCCAAGCCTATCATTTATATCTGTTTTAGATGTTATAGGACGGGCTTGGGACATTAGGGACTGTAATTTGAAGAATCGAGTTTCCTGACCGTGGTAAAATTAGGATATCAATCCCACCTCCTTGGCCACCAGATTTCATTTCCCATAAATGGAAGATTGGCAACCAAGAACAGCTAGAAACTTAGATTGCTTGTGGAGAATCTTGTTAGTCGCAGCTGCATGTGCTGATAGGGTTTCTAGGAGAGGACTAATTATATTTTTCCTTCATATGTAATAAATTTCCTTCCGCAAGAAACTTGTTTGGTAATTGTTTAATGTACTTATGCTTGTTATCATTTTGAGTGTTGCCTTAGGTTGTTAACAACCCTGTAGCAACTTTGGTGCTGAAAATTGACTTCTTTGCTTAGTCATATTGGGTCTCGTCTGTCAGTGTAGTTAGTTTGCCTCGCAAGGCAAGAGAGGCATCATCATTACATTTGGGACACATGGGTGAGAGGGATCTAAACCATTCTCAGCAAAAGAGGCCCTCTTTGCCAACAAAGAACTGATAGGATGGATAGGCTTCTAAATTTCATGGTTAGTGCCTTGTGTGACTCGAACTATTCTTACGAGGCTTGCTTGGAATTTCAGCCTGCTCCCATCTCCATCCAAACACCTTTTTTCTTGTCCCCAACCCCACCCCAAAAAATGACTCATCAAAACTTTTTTCACTGAATTTTCCATCATTGCGTTATAACTTTGAATTTGCTTCCTCCCCCCAAAACCAAAAAATAAATAAATGGTTTCATTGATTTCCCTGTTTCCATGGACCACACAAAAACTTTTCTTTACACCAGACAAAGAAGCAAAGTCATTTATGTGAAGTTGAGAGTCATGGTCAAATAAAACTTCATTTCGTGCTTCCGAAGCATCGGATGGACGGACTTATTCATTCCTGTCATTGATATATAAGGATATTTTCTTCATTGGAGTTTAAGATTTTTTGAGAATAGGAAAGATCTCATTAGCAAGATCGAGTGTAACTATATTCTTTTACTTTCGTTTGGTCCACACAGGAGTTTAGTGAAAACGCGTAGCATTGTAGAATTTATTAGCTCCCTTCAGAATTAAAGGAATGTATTCTTTTGCTTTGTGCTGTACATATTCAGCACCATGTTAGTGCTGTTTCATCAGTAAAATTATACCTTTACCAATAAATTATATTTTCTTGGTTGAGTTATTAGGTGTGTGTATACACACACATATATTTAACTTATTTTTCACCTTCACTTTTATTTATTTTGGTATTGGTATGATAATGATATGAGCTGAGCTTAGAGAAAGAAGTGAGGATTCATATCGCCGACCCCTACTATGTTTGGGACTGAGGCGTAGTTATTTGTTAAGTTATCGGTGTTGGTCCTATTTGATCTCAGAAGCACATTTAAGGGAAGTGCAAATATATCGTATGAAGTCGTTGACCAGTTTCTTTTCTGTGCATGCTCTTGTTTTTGGATGAGATTTGTTATGTCGTGTTTTTATATGCTTAAAGAATTTTTTACTGATCTGTTTAGTTAATAACTATATCCATTGATTTTTGGGGGTTGACAAACATTTTCCTTGGCTTTTCTGGTCTGTCTGCCAAATTTAATCTGCCAAATTTAATCATATATACCGTTGACCATTTTAAGAAGACAATTACTTGTTGGATTACTTATATCCATTCAACTGGACTAAATTTGCTGGTGTGCTTTCTCTACAGAACTTCAGAAATTCAAAGAAATCGGAAAAGATGTTATCTTTGGCCATTCACTTGAGGATGTTGGTATACCTTCAGATCTCCCTGGACCAAGCACATCTGAGCAGTCACAGCACAGGGATGGTGCTCGACATTCTTTTAACTCCTTGGGGGCTGAAGTGGTTTGCCTAAAGCAGAATATAATACTGTTGCAAAGCAAGCTTCAGAAGGCAGCAGACCGAGTTAAGTCCAAGGAAGCCAGAGTTACTGAACTGGAAGCCATTCTAGGTAGTAGCTCAAAGAAGGAAGAAAAGACTATTGATACCATGCACCAGAGTAGTAGAGACATGGAAAGTGAGCTTGAGGGTCTTTTCAGACAGAAAATTGAAGCTGAAGTTCAGTATTTAGCAATATCAAGAACAGCCCAGAAGTTGAGAGCTGCAGCAGTTGATCAAGCTACCCTCTTGGAAGAACAGAAGACCGTAGCTTCAGAACAAGCACAGATGGTGCACAGGCTTGGAGATGAAGAAGCAAAGGCTGCAATGCTCAAGACACAAGCTGAGAAGTTGGAAAGTTACTGTAAAGATATAGCAACAACCGATGAAAAGCTAAAGCTACAGAAGAAAGTCTACAAGTACAGTTCCTGTTTTTTGATACAGTTGGTGCTGCTGGCTGTTGTCGTTGGACTGTTTCTGATGCAAATGTCACCTGATTATACTGAAATTGTACCCACGTGATGTTGAGAAGTTCTTTTCTTTTCTTTTTCTTGTATTATTATCAACGTCGTGTGCAACGTTAGATTAGTATGTAGTAGATGTTTATAGAAAGCTTAAATACCTTGTTTTCATCTTCTCAAGTCTATAGAAGAAGATTCGTTGGTCCATAAGTTGAGATATTGTTTCTATAGAAGGGTGACAACCTAGAAATTCTTTTGCTGGTATCATATTCTTATTCATTCAATTGTCAGCGAGGCCATATACGAGAATTGTATACGAGAAAATGTATATTTTTTGTATCTATGTTTTCTGTATATATGTATATTATATAAAATCTTTCTGAGTCGAGGGTCTTTCGGAAACAAAGGTAGGGGTAAGGTCTGCCTACACACTACTATCCCCAGAGTCCACTTGTGGGATTATACTGGGTCTGTTGTTGTTGTTATTATATATATATATATATATATATATATATATATATGACAA